TGATCAAATAGCATAGAAAAATAGAACATTCTTTTCTCTATCAGACTATATAAAAAGAAAGTTTCTTTAACCTTTCTATAAGGGATAAAAATACCACTGCCACTACTTTTGGTATGCCCTAAGTAGTTAAACGAAAAAGTTCTCAAGTGAAACTTGTTGCACGCAAGATCTTGGATAAAACACCAATAAGTCAAGATCTTGGATTCCTGAATCTTTCACTCAAGAGTTTGAAACATCCTGGCTTACTCCACTCAAGATCTTGGGTTAAGAAATTTCAAGATCTTGATCTTGAGTGACAAATTTTCTTTACATTTTCTTTTCATTTATGACAGTCGTCGCCATTGGATATACGACCATATAGAGTCATAGATTCTTCCTTAAAGAACTATTATATGGTGAAGAAGGAAAAAAATTCGAAGTTATTCTAAGTGTGAAAATATTCGCACTTTTATTTACACAAGACAAAATGTAACAAAACGATGATTCAAGAATTTCCAAGATCTTGGTACAAGATGCCAAAAAATTACAAAATGTTCAAGATAAGAGCTTGACTTCTTGAAATTTCTTGATTTTTATATTTTCTTACCAAGATCGTACTGAAAAAATTCAAGAAGTCAAGATCTTGGTTGCAAGAAGTTTCACTAGGATTGGCATCTCTTTTTTAAAGCCGTTAGGCCTAACTTAAATATTACAGCTCGACTACTATAGTAGTAATTGAGATTTCTTAATATTATATGAGCTACGAGACGAGACCTTGCACTCTGTCTAACAGTTCGAGATTGGACTAAAACGTTAATAAATAATTCTAGATTAACCTTCAGAATAACGGCGAATTGAACAATCAGAAAGAACATGACAAAAAAATTTCCTTTTAGAATGTACATGCATAACAGAAGTGTTTCCTCTTTCTAATGGGACTAAGATTCTGTTTGAAGATTTTCATGCTAGTTTATCTTGAACAAGAAAATCTGTTTTAGTTTGTCTTGGTTTGTTTCTATAAAGTCTCTTCCAGAAAGAGATAGATATACAAGAGAAAATACAAAAATAGATGGCGCCCGTGGCTTTTATTGATAGATTATCTTAACCTTATATTTTTCAACTTAGGTTAAATGAGACAAGGAAAGTGCAACCTCTGCTGCCGTATGCTTGCCGATCCTTGAAAATTGAGATAAAATAAAACAAATTTTATTCTTATTTCTAACGCTGCTGTTCTTCGGTAATTTCAAGAATGATTGATTACACATGAATTTTGTTGGCGGCACGTCGGAGAATAATGGCGAAATTTTGACTGTAGGACGTTCTAGTTAGAGCATATTATTTTGTGTAGAGAAGAGATATACGTCAGGCTTAAGACTGTATGATAAACGAAGTTTGTTGTTTGATACGCTGACTGAAACGATTTTCTTCAAGCGTTTGTTCTTGACGTATTTTAACCATTGTATTGACCATTTTGCTGTGAAAAGTTCAACGGTTACAATTTTTCGGAATGTATATAGTGATAGTGTAAAACTATCAAAGTTCTTGACTTCAAGAAAGATCTTGTTTAGCTCTGTAAGTCTGTATTATTTGTTGTTTTTTCAGATGACGAACTCAGATCCAGCTGATCCTTCGAAACACGTATCCGCTCAGCAATCGAAAGATCAACCAGCTAAAGAAAAAGATATTCAACCAGCTGGGGATACCAAAAAACAAAATGAAATTAAGGAAGAAGATTTGGTATGTATTCATGTACAACGCACGTATCCGGATACTAAACCATCAGTCGATATCGCATTATTCTCTTCTCTATTTAATTTTTAGTCAGAGGAAGACAAACAACTTAAAGAAGAACTAGAATTATGTGTTGAACGTTTGAACGTTAGTTTTTTTTGTTTGAAAATATTTTTATAAATCGATAATATTGCTTTTTTAATAGGAAAATGATATATTTTTATATCGTCCAGCACTTGAAACATTACGACAAAAAATTCGTGAATCAACCAGTTCCATGACAAGTGTTCCTAAACCATTAAAATTTTTACGTCCACATTACGATACAATGAAAGAGATTTATGAAAAAATTACTGAACCAACAAATAAAGTAAAATAAACTTTTATTTAAATGAAGAAAAATAAGTTTTTGTTACGCTATTTTTTGAATGAAAACGACATACAATCTGTAGAGATGAAAATCATCAAACAGTCCGTATGCTTCATTATATGTTTTGCATAAAGGTTTAGTAACTCAACATTTTCTGAAGTATGAGTGTATTCATCATATTTCGATTATCAAAGACTCGCCCTCATTATTTTTGTATTTTTCATGCTTATAATGAGGCCTGAATTCTATTTTATTACTTTTACCTTCTGCTTTTTATTATTAGTATTCTATTTAGATGTTATGTGCAGATATTATTTCTGTTCTGGCTATGACAACAATTGATACAAAAGAATGTTTAAAATATCGTTTGTTAGGCTCTGGTCAAGATATTGGTACTTGGGGACATGAATATATCCGGTAAATTGTTGGATTTTTACACATCTTCGCTCATTCTTAAGCTTTTTCTTCTTTAGACATTTATCAGCTGAAGTAGCATCAGAATGGGAAAAAGTGGATGCCAACAATGATGTGAAACAAAAATTATTACGATTAACAAACGAAATTATACCATTTTTAATGAGGCATAATGCTGAAGCTGATGCATGTGATTTACTAATGGAAATAGAACAGTTAGATTTAATTGAAAACTTTGTCGATAAAGATACATATGCAAGAGTATGCCTTTATTTGACCAGGTACATGTTTTTCCCAAAAAGAGAGATAAAATTGAATGAATAAATCATTTTTATCATATTTTGTCTGTTTTAGTTGTGTACCTTATGTGCCTGAACCTGATGATACTCAAATGTTACGAACAGCGTGTAAACTTTATCGTCATTATGATCAATATCCACTTGCATTACGCTGCGCCATACAACTGAATGATATGGAACTCATTCGAGATCTTGTTATTTCATGTCCTTCAAGGTAGTTTTTACTGATAAACTGATGAGTGAAACTCGCCAAGTGTCATTTCGATTATCCTTTGACAAGTTTTGATACTGACCACCAATTAGATGTCTATTGATTTCTTCTATAAGGTAAATTTGAGTTCTCTGTTTAAAGTCAGGATTTATTACCAACTTTCGTCTGAACAAATTCTGGTGGAGCTAAAATAAAGAGTATATTAAGTTATCTATGTACACAAATTATGACATTGTTTTTATCGAGTCAAAAGAAATTCAGTTTTTCATTCAGCCAGAATAAGAGTGTTTGAGATATTTTTCCCGATAAAAAGATTATAACTTGGAAAAACTTACTCGTTAGCTGCAAAAATTTGTGTACATAGGTAACTTAATATATTCTGCATATAATTAATGATCAGCATCAAAACTTGTTTGTATTGAAGTACGGTTCAAGAGATAATTGAAGTGGCACTTGGCGAGTTTTCCTCGTAAACAAACTCTCAATTGACTCTTGAAGTAAAACTGTGTTTCTGGATTTCGTATTAGTTTGACAAAAAAACAGTTGGCATTTATACTCGGACGTCAACAAATAATTTGGAATGTAGCTGAAACGAACAATGGTGAAGACCCCGATGAATTAACAAACATCATGTCTAATTCTCATCTGACAAGCAATTTTCTATCATTGGCACGTGAATTAGATATTATGGAAGCAAAATTACCAGAAGATATTTATAAAACATATTTAGAAAATACAACGCGAACAAATTTTAGTCAACCTGATTCATCGAAGCAAAATTTAGCATCATCATTTGTCAATGGATTTGTAAATTGTGGATTTGGACAAGATAAAATTGTTACACAAGATACCAAATGGTTAACAAAATATAAAGAAAATGGTAAAAGAGAAGAATGTTTCAGTATCTTTTATGAAACTCCTTCAGCGGAGGAGTTGAAGTTTTATACTCAAAAAGCCTTGATTTTCACATATTTGTTAACCTCCTTCTCTCCGCCGGGTGCACTCATCTTACATCGGTGGGTGTATTCATCTTAACCTGACTGTGTATTCTTCTCAATAGGGTAGTGTAATCATCTTATTCAGGTGTATTCATCGTAACAGAGTGGTGTATCCCTCTTGAACGGTTGGTGTATTCATCTTAAAAGACAGCTGCAATTTTCGTTGCTCCTCTATGTTAGTGTACACTGTTCCCAATACCATCTTTCGACTAATGTAAAGGCGTTTTGCGATTTTAGCCCCACAAGGGGCTGCCCTAACAAGATTTCCTATTCTATTCAACATAAGTTGGTTAGAATGTAGTTGTTAAGAGTGGGTTGTTGCCACTAAACATCATCAAGACATTTTTGTTATAATAAGGGCCGCGATTACGTGCACTGAAATACATATTTAATCTTCGTACCTTTTATTCTATTTTACTAGGTTTATTAAGTGCAACAGCATCATTAGGTTTAATTGTTTTATGGGATGTTGACGGTGGTCTAAGTTTAATTGACAAATACTTATACAGTGTTGACGATAATATGAAGGTTAGCTAATTTCTATAAAGCGTTTTTATATACGTTAATTTTACCTCACTTCTTTAATAGGCTGGTGCATTATTGGCCTGTGGTATTGTAAATTGTGGAGTACAAAATGATTGTGATCCCGCTCTTGCTTTACTGGGAGATTATGTATCACACAAAGAAAATCCTTTTCGTGTGGGATCAATAGTCGGGTAAATATATAACTTTAAGTTTGTACCAAGAATGAAAACTAATAGATCATGTAAATAAGAATCAAATGTTTTGATATACTATTAATGACTTTTATCTTTGTTTACTTGCCCTGTATTGTTTTATGTTTCAATAATAAACTTCTCCTTTTTTTGGTTTAGACTAGGTTTAGCGTATGCTGGTACAAATCGCGAAGATGTTGTCAGTTTAATAAGTAACGCACTACATGAAGGTCAGCCATCAATGGAAGTAAGTATCCTTTGGTGAGAAATATGTTATTGATTATTATGTTATTTTTCCATTTTAGATAATTGCCTTGGCTTGTTTATCAATTGGCGTTATATCTGTTGGTTCATGTAATTCCGAAGTTTCGACAACACTATTAAGTGTTTTATTAGAACGTAGTGAATTAGAATTAAAGGATCATTTTAGTAAATTTATTGCATTGGCCATTGGATTACTGTTCTTGGGTAATTTAGAGGAAGAAAAAAATGCCATATTTTGAAGTAGACAAAATTAATACTCTTTTCATTCGTTACAGGAAAAGGTGAAGCTGTTGAACCAATGCTTGAATCATTGAAAGTAATTAGTGAACCATTACGTTCATTTGCTACTGTACTCGTTGAATGTTGTGCATATGCTGGAACTGGAAATGTTTTAAAAGTTCAACGAATGCTTCATATATGCAGTGAACATTTCGAACAAAATGCAGAAAAAAAGGTAAATTGAATAGTTCCTTTTTATAACCGATATTCGTTCAATTCTTGTTTTCTAGGACAGTGAAAAAGATTCCAAAGATAAAGATAAAGACAAAGACAAAGACAAAAAAAAAGATGAAGAAGCTGCTACACAAAATTCCGTACATCAAGGTAAAACACGATTAGTATTAATGAAAGTAGGAATCTTTTAAATTCTTGTTCTCTTCTTAGCTGCTGCTGTAATTGGTATTGCCGTGATTGCTATGGGTGAAGAAATTGGATCAGAAATGGCTTTACGTACATTTGGTCATCTGGTAAGAGAGTTACACTGAAATAATAGCACCACATCCACATTCATTTGTTTTTTCTTACTTTCTCTTTTAGTTACGTTATGGTGAACCGGTTATAAAACGTGCTGTGCCGTTAGCACTTGCCTTACTATCGGTTTCAAATCCAAAATTAAACATAGTTGATACTTTAAGTAAATTCTCACATGATGCTGATCACGAAGTATCATACAATTCAATATTTGCCATGGGTATGGTTGGTGCAGGTAATTAAGCATAGGACTATTGTGATTCTCTTGCTCGATGAACAAGATAGCCCCGAACACCGTGTAATCTATTTCTTTTCCAATGTACGTTCTAAACACAGAGACAGAGGCTCAGTCACTATTATTTTCTAATTCATTTTAGGTACAAATAATGCCCGTTTAGCTGCAATGCTACGACAGTTAGCTGTTTATCATTCAAAAGATATGAATAATTTATTTATGGTTCGATTAGCTCAAGGCCTGACTCATCTTGGTAAAGGTACAATGACATTGAATCCTTATCATAGCGATCGAATGTTATTATGTCGTGTGGCACTGGCTGGAATATTAACTGTACTAGTGGCATTTATTGATGTTAAATCGAGTACGTAAGCAAACAATGACAATATAAGTTGACGAGTAGCTGATGTATGAGCCGTTGTGCGATTTAAACTATCAGCATTACAGCAACTGCATACTATCAGAATTTTCAAGCATAGATCTTTAATTATACCTAGTATTCAATACACTGCACCGTATCTTCTTCAGGTTCTACTCTGGAACGAATTAATTTGTACTTATTGCTAATCAAGAGTTATAACTCGACAAGAGTACCTGAAAACAATTCTCAGAACAAAGAATGTTTCGGTCCCACCTTTCTATCCCACCAGATTTGCATAAAAAGAGATGCAAACATATCCATGACATCACGGATGTGCATGTAGTGAACATGACTTCTAGTACTAACGTGATGAAATCGATAAAAGTCTGTCATGCAAAGTTGGTAAAGATATGATAATTGGCAGTTAGCACTGTGAACTATAAAGTCTTTGAACTTGAGCAAATTTTGAAAGAAAGAATGCCTTGACCATTAGCGAGAAGACGAGAAAGTCGAAATATGAATTGACGAGAGATAATCTAGACCAATCGAAAAGTGAAAACTTCTTTACTTTTATTTTTACTTTAACTGTTGCATTCCTCGTCTGAAGTGAACAGTAGTGTGATTATAGTGAACAATTGTTTTTTTGAAAGAAAATGTTATTTACACACAAAAAATATTGCAGTTTAAAGTAACATCTATAATAGAGTAGCATTGGTTATTCATACAGCTCTATACTTTAGAAAAAATGTGTTTTTAAAAAATTTCGACTATACATCGTGCAGAATAGGATGGGTCCAAGCGAAAGTTACTGTGCTCTCTTGTTACAATTTACACTAATAAATCATATTCAACAATTCTTTAAATATTTTTTCTATGTTTATTGTAGCTATTGTTGGAAAATATCATTATCTTTTATATTTCTTGGCCTTGGCAATCCAACCGCGTATGTTAGTTACATTTGATGAATCATTGCGTCCGTTACCTGTACCCGTTCGAGTTGGTCAAGTATGTCAATGGAATTAAAAAGTAAAATATCTCATTTCATAAAAAATTCTTTCATCTTATTCAGGCAGTCGATGTAGTGGGACAAGCTGGTAAACCAAAGACAATTACTGGTTTTCAAACTCATACTACACCTGTTCTATTAGCGTATGGTGAACGAGCTGAATTAGCCACAGAAGAATATTTAGCATTAACACCTATATTGGAAGGATTTGTTATTTTACAAAAAAATCCAAATTATGTACCATAATTTTTTTAAACTATTTTTTTTCTACAAAATATGCAAAGCATTGATTGTCACATGAAGTATGAGAAAAAAACAGCCTAAATTTATAACTGAGAGCAAGAATTTCATTATTTGTTTGTTTGTTTTTTTCTGTTTCGTTACGTTTTTTATTAAATAAAAATTGAAGTACACACGTGCTCTAAGCATGGAAAATAGATTTTTTTCTGAAATCACCAAATATTTTTGATAGCTGATATACATTTTGATATTGTTTGTTTTACTGCATTTCGATGATCTTGCATTAAGACATAAAATTGAATGATTTGTAAGCATGTTTTAGGTCTATTTTCATCTACATAGTGTGTGATATTTATGACTTATATTTCCTACTGCCTCATATAACTTTGTAAAAGAAAATAATTTCAGCCACATGTTAATATTTTTTTCGATCGCTTATTTAACAATCTATAACGTTTTTGTTCTATCAACAATACAAGACCATTAAATTTTTTTTATATATTTTACTGGATCTGAAATATAATTATCATTGTCGTCATTTGGATTTTGATTAAAATGTTCAATAATTTCATATGTTCATAGTACAAACTCTTTCTATTTTATCAGTGAGTATTTTATTCGATCAATTTATCCGCCTGTCAATTATATGCATGAAAAGTCAGATGTACACATATTAAAGCTATTTATATATTGTAGCACACAAATATGTAGGTTTGATAGAATAGAATAGAATACAATAAATGATGTATTACATAAAATGTATATTACAAATTTAAAGAATATCTGAATGACAGATAGAAACCAAGACATATCTCAGTATGATGTCTAGAGTTTAGTACAAAATAATTATAAAATAGTTTTCATCTATATTTTATGCAATGGCACGCTAAAATAAAAGGAATATTTATTTGTATTTTGAAGTGTTTATAAGGACCGTCTTAATTGTAAGAATATAAAGTAAAAACAAATGAAATTTTGTACAGTTGATATTCCATCTGTTTTAGTTACGATGATCATCTCAAACACTTTCGATAAAAATATGAATTTTATACAAGAATAACTTTAATTCGATTTTGATCTTTTCATTTTGCAATGAACATGTCTGTTTCTAAAATTAATTACTAGATATTCATGACATTTATATTTAGAATTAAATATATTTTGATAATAAAATCGAGTCTAGGGGATTTACGTACAAGACTCTTCTTCCTCTAAATGTTAAATCTCATTACAATATAGAACGATCAAGAATAGAATTTATAGACGATAATTTAAACATTGATAATAGTACGAGTATGAGTAATATTCTTTAAGATAGTTTCATTGTTCCACTGTTAATTGTTAGATGAAACAAATATAATATGCCTATTAATGTTGTATAAAAAAATATTTTTATATCTCATCGTCTGCTGTATATTTATTATTTTAGAATGTGGTGAATATTGTTGTGTAATATAAATGATTTTAATATAATAGTTGAATTGTGAACATGTTATTGAGACTAAGGAAGCAATAAGGAATAATTCCATCTATGACAATGGTTGTTGTACTGAAGAAAAAGAAAACTGATACACGTAGGAGGTATATTGTATTGTGCATTTGTGTTCAAGCGAAATAATGGTACACATAGGAGAGAGAGAGAGAGAAAGAATAGGCAATATATTTGTTCAAGAAAAAGGAAATCTGTAAGAGTTAATAGAGAGGTGTAAAACATGTTTATGCTTTAAACCATTGTCTCTCATCTTCTATATATCGATAGGAATAAAATGACTTTTCTTATGTACAGGTGAATTACGACATTGAACAATTAAATTTTTTGATCTATTCTGCGATTTAAAAAAAAAAAAAAAAAAGAAGAAGAAATTGTACAAAGTAACATTATTGGAATAAACACCGTTGTTATAATTCGAAATATTGTTAGGTACGTATACAATGATGTTTAGCCATAATAAATGGATCGGTATTTATTAAGTGTGAGAAAATAAATGTTATTAAAAGGACTTTTAGGAAGTCCGTGATGATTGGATGGATAGATGGACAGATGTCTATTTCACTGCTTTTCAGTTTCGTTTATGCTTTTATTTATCCGTTTTTTTGTGAATTTGTTGCATTCAGAATGAAGTGACGTTTCATGTACAAACAATAAAAGAGTGATTATTATTGAAAAAAATATTTTTTAAATGATTAGTTAATTAATTAAGAGATTAAATAGATCGGTAGTATGAGTATGAGACAGGATGATTTTCTAAATAATTTTACTCTAGGATAACATAAAAGCATTTGAAGAAAAACTGTGCATCTTTTTGAAGAAAACTGGTATCCAACTGTTTGTTTTTTTTTTTACTAACCACACGATTGATTGAATTTGAAAGATGTCAAAAAAGTTGAACAATTTTTATTAAAAGATCTATGGCAATGAAAGTATGAAATGTAAAGATGTTTTGACGTAGTACATTTTTCCTAGTCAAACTGCATTTATACTTCCATTGAGTATTGAATTATTCATAAATCTTAAAGTTTGTCGTAGCTATATTTTCTATTCTTTGACTGATCAACGTAAAACAAGTATTAGTAAACTCGCCTCTTTTAAAACGAGACATTAATCAATTAATCATTTGAAAAATATTTTTTTAAATAATAATCACTCCTTTATTATTTGTACACGAAACTCACTTCACTTCATCTCGAATAGAAAGATTAAATATTGGCTTTATTCTTATTTTTGTATAGAGATTAATAGTTCATCTATCTATCGTTCATACATTCATGCACACTTGTCTCTTCGCAATAAATTAGTAAAATATTCTTTATCTTTGAAATATTTGTTTGTATATGAGTATGCTTTTTCTTTGATCTAATGCTTCTGTTAATTGAACGCAGAAAGTATCAAGGACGAGGATAGACAGTATATACACATATATAATAACCTTCGTTTCTCTTGTATTAACTCTCTGTACAGTTAACTTTCTCTCTCGCTCTCTCTTATTATTTATTATGAGATGAAAATAAAACAAAAAAAAAAAAAGAAAAGGTGATTGTGTATGAGTCAATCTAAAAACTACACTTCACTATTTGTTCAATAGAATACCTTTGTTCATAATAAATCCTACTATCGAATAATTTTGTTAAAATTCCTTTTTTGTGATTATATGAAAAAAATATTTTTTCTTGTAATATCACGTAACATCATTCATGTTGAGTCCTATTGTCCATGACATCAAAAAATACTAAACTCTTATTGGAATTAACTTTTATATGATGTTTATAGAAAAAAAAAGGAGAGTAAAAATAACAGGAAAGAAGATATACTGAGTACGTGTCAAACATTATAAGACATATATACATACAGAAGAAGCAATTGAAACGTAGTTAATTTCCACTATAAGGATTGTTTTCGATTATAAACAAGTTAAGACGTACTGTGTACGGATTATGTAATCATCAATATGTATTGAGTGAGCACAAATAACTATTGCCGTTTTGTATAGAAGATGATTTCTTCTTTATGCTAGTATAGAGATTTTTAACAGAGTCTCAACTAGCAAGAATACAAGTGATTAAAAAATGAAGTGATTAAAGTCAGTGAAATTTTTATACAAACTTCATTGAGAAATGTTTAAATATAAACGCATTAATCTAACTATCTTATATTGTGTTGCTGTAAAGTTAATTTTCCTTTTAGAAAAAAAGAGAGATAAATCAAAAAACGATCATCTGGCTCGTAATGGAGATGTTTCTCGTGTATAGAACAATTAAGTTTCTTTCTCTGTCTCTCTCTCTCTCTCCCATCTTTGTTCAAATGATAACATTTTTTATCATTTTCTCTAATTGATCAATCTAACTACTATCATCATCTATATACATACACAATTGAATAATGTCATTAATCACTTGAACAAGGTTATACGTGATCTTAGACATACGATTATTATCTGTCATATTTTAACAACTTAATTTTCCCTCGGCGTTTAAGGAAGAGGAAAAGTAACAAAAGATTGTATAGTATAAAATCACAAAAGAAGTAGAAATCGATTTAAAACAAAGAAAAAGAAGTTTATTCGTACTTCATAATATTTGAAAGTTTGAATTATTAACCAGACAGTCAATGAATTCATATGAAAAATTTACCTTCTAGAATCTTTTCATTTCTCATCAGTCAATTTCATTTAGCTTACAAAACATGATTCTATCCATCAACTTATCATTGTCTAGCAGATTATTTGTCTCTCTGTTCGGCACTTCAGAACTTCGAGGTACATGCGTATATATATATATCTATAGCCAGAAGCTCTATTGTATGTATATTCTGTTAAATATATTTACTTAAATACATTCTGTTTTGTCTGTATAGGTGCTAAATTTGTCTTTCTAACATGTTTACATATACTTGTGAAGGCTCGTCATTTGTGACATGATACTTGAATATTTAAAATCATTTTTTTAGTTCATTTAAAAGAACGTCATCATCTTCATATAATAATCACGATGACAGTTAAAAGACATGTTTTCTCTGTCTTTTATATTGAACGCCTATTGGGCGTATCTGTCTACCATGTATGATAAACATAACAAACAAAATTCTCAAATTACATATATTCACCTGAAAAAGAAAAAAGAAAAAAAAGTGCTGGTAGTGATAGTAATTCATTTGTTCAGTCTGAATAGTCAACGATACACAAGTCTCTATTAGTCTAATAAAATGGCATTTTCTATATAATGGAGTGGTAGTTGCTCTTGAAAACAACGATATCAATAAGTCTATTTGGTAGTCTGACACTCTGATGTGAACATATATATATATATACATAGAAATTATTGTTATGATAAATATGATACACATACACATTATATTGTGTAAGAAATAAATCTTCAGATACTTGTTAAATTATATTGGTATGAGACATTTGAGAATAATTACTAGAAAAAAAATAAAACATTTTTAAAATGAAGAATATTATCAAAAATTTTGAACTTTATCATATAAATAATATAAATCAGATCATTTTGATATCGATTTAATTCCTCTATGAAAGTATATCACTTTTATCGTTTGTCAAGGTCAGAACACTTTTAAAATCATTCATTGTAGACCTATTATTATATGGTAGATATATCAATAATATTAATCTAAGACGTACGTTTCATTTTTCTTTCTATTGTTAATAATTAATCATTAAAATGAGGATATTAGAAAAGTAAAAAACATTCACATCGTAGTGATGGTGAGATTTTATTCTCATACAAATTTTTAATTTATATTTTTCATTGTATTTTTTTGTTGCTGGAAAAATCTAATAATCACATAATTATAATGTCAGTTTATCAATTACGAAGAATTCTTTTCTCAACTAATACATCTGTTGACAAAATACACATCGATCTTAATTGTTGTAAGAGCAAACGAGCGAATACATCAATAGATTAGGATATTTTCATTTTCTATTTGACTATATACCACATTAAATATACAAAACACTGGCATAAAAAGTAAAATACACAATGTGATTCCTCGAATCAACGATAAATACATAATTCATATCATCAAGCTTCTAACATTTCATTTAACATTGTTGTTAGTACTTCTTTAAAATCTGTGTTGATGATTTTGATTTTGAATATCTTCTATCATATGATTGATAGCAATAGATTGCACAATATAAAAAAAATTTAAGACTATTTGTTAAGAATATAACATCTCTTTCTTTCTCTATAGGTGTGAACATTGAACAAATGTCACGTTTATGTGTAAAACTTATTTTATGTAAATGTAGAATTCAACTTGACAGAGAAAAAAAAAAAATGGCATCATCTCGCGTTTATGCAATACGATCTCGAAGAATGTTCATATTCAATTAATAGAAGAAAAAAAAAAAAAGGACCAAGTTGTTTTTTAAACAATATCACTTTTATAGTCTTATTCTTATGTAAAAATTGAATAAAAAAAAAGCTTGATGATTTCATAATATGAACAATTTTACTTCGTATAATCACGTGTTTCCACTTACATTTTTATTAATTGAATATTCAAGTAGTACTTGTTACTACACTCTATTTTGTTCCTCCAATGAGACATAATATTATGACACTTTTGTGTCGATAAGAAAGAACTTTATAGTACAGTCATAGAATAAGTCAAAGACTCAGTGATGAATAAAACGCTGATTTTGTTTCAGTTATCTTCAGAAACGGTACAAATTGTCTTAAAAATAGCAGTCATTTTTTTAACTTTCGAATGATTTAAACGTATAAAGAGATAAGATCTAACAATAAATTATTCATTTAATTGATTAAAAATTCAGTATTTGATACGCATCGTTCTTCGATATCAATGACCTTTGTATGTGAAAATCTACTTGAAGAAAATCTCGATATGATAAACTTAGAATTTCTTCTGAGTACTTCTGTGTCTGTATAAAAAATACTGTAGAAATATGTTCGATTCAATTAATTGGATTTTCGATGGTTGATGAAGTTTATAATTACGTGGCATATCACGCAAATCAAACAATATTTTTTTTGATATTCAATTAGAATGATTATCAGTCAATAATATCGTTCAATCATTTTCAATTCATTGTTGTTATTTTTTTATTGTACTGGAAATAATTAGTGTTCGTGTTCTGAAATTATTAACTTCAATGTTAAAAATTGTTTACAATAGAATGGAAGAGAAAGAGAGAGTAAAAGAAAGACAGAATACAATGGATAATTCTTTTGCATGATTATTTTCTTCAAAAGGTGTCATTTCATATATCTCATTAAAACAAAAAAGAACTATCTTTGCCGGTATATTTGATGGATATGGTAATTTTATTAATATAAAAAGTTCTTGATATTAGAAACGCGAAAAAACTGTATATATCTCAAAAATGAGTCAAAAGTAAAGAAATGAACACTATAAATAGATACAGAAAGAGAAAAAGAAAAAAAAAGTCAATGTTCAATATTTCAAAAAATATATAAAGACATTATGGCGAGTTGTTGTGTAAATAGAATGATATGAAGGTTGAGAAATAGAAAAGATAAAAAAAAAAAAGAAATGAATGAATGATTAATATATCTGAATACATACATACATACATAGACAAAGATATATTTTTAAAAAATGACACTATTTGTACGTAAACGATAGGTAAATAATCTACTCTTCTAATTTTATCTTATGCTGCAATTTAATCTAAGCCGATTTCAAGTTTTCACAAAGAATCTATCTAATCTACACATATTGGTTTATTTAGTTGTTTTGACATTTATGTGGTCTAGTTACAATGTTGTCTTCTTCTTTTTTTTCTAGATGTTAATATTTCATTGATGAATATAAAAATTCTATAAATTTTAATATGAACAGTTTTATGACTCGATTATTACTACTCTTATTATTATGTGTTTACTCTAGCGACGCTGAATTCCGACAATTAATTAAAGAAAAAAGTCAAAAATTACAAGAAAAAACTGAGCATGGTAAGTAATTAGTTGAATAACATCAATCAACAATTATAAAAATCTTTTAATTTACCAACTCTATTATGTTTTGGATTTAATACTTAACTATAAGTATTTAGTGATATAAAGGGTGGATACTAAGTTTTGATTCTCTCTCCTAATTGACGTTATGCATATGAAATACATATAATAAAATTCAGTCGTTTTTTACAAAAGATTCACCGTTTAATTCTGGATACAGGAGATGAAACTAAGACTTGAGATTCCGTCTTGATTGAACAGAAATCGAAATGCCCCCAAATTTTCAAAAAATAAAAACTTTTCTGACGACGATTTTGAATTTTGAACTGAAACTACAGGAAACACGGGAATAATGACAGAAAATTTACGTTATAGCCATTCGATAGAGAATTCCAGGGCTACATTTTGGCCTATTTCATGTGAGCACAACGCATACATTCAAGCTTATACTGACGAAATACAGTTAATTTTTTGAAAGTTTTGGGATATTTCGCTTTTTATTGAATTAAGACCGAACCTCAAGCCTCAGGATATACCATTTTGTAGACAATTAAATGATGAATCTTTTGTAAAAAACAGCTGAATTTTATTATATGTATTTGATATAGATAACGTCAATTTACAGAGACGGTCAAAACTTAGTACCCATCCTTTATACTCGTCAAGTTGTTGTTTTATACGAGAAAGCTTTTGTAAATTGAGCACTACTGAACATAAATTTTTTATCCAGTCAGAATTATCACGAAAAAAACAACAACAACAAACAATGACTTTAAAGCTTGTGTTTTCTGAATTGTTTTTCATTCCCCAAATATTGTTTATATGTTTGTTGTACATGTGTTATCATTCATTCGTGTCAATGAGAATTAGATATTGTTATATAGAACTTGAGAAAAATTATTTGATTCTTAGAAATACGATTGCTTGAATGAATACATACATATGATTTATCAATCAACAATGATGATCATTGCCATTTTTTTGTTTTATTTTAGTATATAGTAGTCATCGGTCAAGTGACTAAGTTCTTGTTTTTACTATAGGTTATGTCTCAAAAAATATCATTGACAGAATAGATAACAAACTATTTGATCTTGCCCTAAGGCTATGATCATCATCATTGATAAAACAATTATTATTTCTTCAAGAGTATTGTTAGACAGTCATCATATATCTTTATATACGTATACAATTGGAATATTAAACCAAATTCCAATGTGGAATGATACGTAAATGTCTAAAACACTAGTTAGAATATACTATGCAGATATCAATCTCTCAAAAAACATATTCTAAATTACTTTTCAGAATATAACTATTTGAAACCTATAAGAGTCATGTTTGAAAACACACTTAATCAGTTTTTGTTTAAGTGTACAAGTTGAATCTATTGAATAACTGCGCAGCATATCATAAAAAGAAAAATAAAGTTCATGCAAAGTCGCGAAAAAATGCGATTTGTATTCAGCACACTCGTTAATTCAGAAAATTTTCTATTTTTACCGAGACATATTGCCAAAAGTTTAAGAAAAATTTTGAGATTAATATTATTTTCCTATAGAAATTTGTTTTCACCATTTTGTATAAAAAAAGTTCCTAAAGTTTTGACGATACGTCTCGCCGGAAACAGAAAATTCTCTGGGTTAACGAGTGTACTGAATACAAAACACCACTTTTTGTGACTCTGCACAAACTTTATTTTTCTGCCAGTGATGTGCTAAAAGTTGCCCGTAGTACAGAAATCCAATGTCGTACCACATGTCTTTGTACTCATGTAACTGTTTTTCCAAGAATATGATGTACTGTCACTCTTCGAAATTGTCAAATTTTCCCTTAGAATGTTGCACTAGATTTCTTGAATTAAAATTCGTGTCAATAAAAAGCACAAGTTTTACCTATGACTCATATTTTATCCTTATTTATGAAGACTTTCAATTTACCGTAAGATCAAAATTAGAAATAGGTTCATGTTATCGGTTCCTCAACCTCGACAATGTATTTATAATGTATTCAATCTGGAGGCAGGCAGAAATGTGTGTAATTATATTTCTCTATTTCAAAGGCGTGACAAGTATCAAGAACAAATTTTCTACCAGACGACAACAATCATCTTCTATTATACGTTTACATAATCAAACAATTTATAAATTTAGTTCTTATGCTGAAGGTAAGAAACCGTAGATGTTTATGCTGGATACGTTTTATTAACAACTCTATAATCGTATTAGATTAATATATATATACACACACAAACATTGTATGTTCTAAATCAGGTCATTTTTTATATGAGATCAAAAGATTTTCTCTATAGATGTTGCGTGAAGTTTCACATCATTACAATAAACTGTACACTGCTACTGTTAATTGATCGTGATAAACACATGTCACCTTCAGCCTTTTTTCTCTCTGTTTCATGAAACGAACACGTGAACATCTGTGACAGTTGAATAAAATTTAAGAATGTACATTGGTATCAGAGTTGCCAGATGCTGAGGTTAGAAAAGAGGAATAAAAAGGTGAAAAAGCGGAATTTTTTTCCAAATTGCGGAATAAAAGCGGAAATGCATTTTTTACCAAACGAAGGGGATATCAAAACAATTTTTATCGAGTGCTTTATGGCGTTTCCGCTTAAGAAATACAAAAAAAGTACACAACATCATTTAAATCGCTATTGAGTTTTTGTGGATCCACGTCTTTGATCAGCCGTCATAAATTTCAAGAGTTATGTATGGCAGGATAAAATTTAACTCGAAACTTTCCCCGCCTACAACAGCACTTAATGATTAAGATTTTCTGACTGAGCTGCCTTCCTTGAAAAAGATTTAGTATTTCACTATTTCTCACACTCCCTTTCAGCAGCACTTGAGACAAGCTAATGTTTTTGTGTTACCACTAACTTCCGGGGCAAATTCATCATTGCAGGAATCATTCAGCCGCTGAAGGCGTCAAGCTTTTTATGAGAGAATATAAAAAATTTCACTGCAGGAAAAAGGACAAAAACAAAAACTCCTCGAAAAGCGGACAAATTGCGGGCAGCGAACACTTTGCGGAAAAAACTACAGAAAGCGGAATTTGTCCGCAAAATGCGGACCATCTAGCAACTTTGATTGGTATACTAAACATATATTTCTTGAATGATAACTAACGAGTGGCCCAAAAAGAATTAGTGTTAGTACTTTCAATTTTTCTCCTCTTCCTTATAATTAATCAAGCCGTTGAATTTTGAGGTGAGCAAATTCTTTTACCAAAGTATAGCACGTTCACTTCTCTATAAAATATGTGTTCACTGTTTTATTGCAAAATCCGAAGGTCGAAAATGAGATGAGAAATCTTATGAAGTACCAAAATTCAGAAAAAATAATCTATTTTCTCATAGCGAGCTACATTTTTTCAAATGGTTTCAAGAGCATCAGAACGCGGTTTCAGTATACTTTGTTTAGTTTCAAATGTACTCTCCCTCATGACATGTAACAAAATTTGTTCCGAGTGAAAATATCCGACACAGCGAGCAGGAAATGGGCAACTCCGGCTAAGTTCGACTCCAACTCGATTCCAATTTCAACTCCCCTTAAAGAAATTCAACTCCAACTCCGTTTCAAAAACTCCTATAGGAACTTATTTTGTCTTAATTCATTTTTATTTTATTAGCAGTTGTTTATTTCACTTTTATTTGCAAGAATACACAGAAAAACAATCATTTCAATAATTCAAAATTGCATTTCAACCATGTTAATTTTGAATATGTACTTTTTGCGATTCTACACCGATGAGATCGGAAAAGAAAACCACTCTGTGAGAACACTTTCTACCGGTGTAACAAAAAAAAGGAAAATTCAGAGTTATAAAAATTTTTAACTGGAGTTGTGGAGCTGAAGTTGAAAAAATCTTAACTTAACCCAATTCTAACCTACTAAAAACGCAATTTCAACTCAACTTCAACTCCACTAAAAAGAAACTCAACTCCGGAGTTGGAGTTGTCCATCTCTGGAAACTTTTTTTTCAAATCTTACCGATTCCACAATATAGACTAATCATTGGTCTTCATAACGAAAAAAATTCAATCTGAAAGGATCAAGTTTGACTAGACTACACTTGTTTTATCGAATGATGCCAAATCCTGGTCAAAAATCATCATTTTTTAGAAAATTTTCAAGAAAAACTCAACGCGCGCTCAGTTCTAACTAATAATTTTTTAATCATAAGTGAAAGATAGAGCTTTCCAAGGCCTATACGATAGCTACTTCACCTTTCTTTTCCTCACAAACGTTTAGCGAATAAAACCTAAAAGGCGATTATTTCACTTATTTTTTTCTGAATTTTGGTACTTCATAAGATTTCTCATCTCATTTTCCACCTTCGGATTTTGCAATAAAACAGTGAATACATATTTTGTAGAGAATTGAACGTGCTATATTTTGGTATAAGAATTTGCTTGATTAATTATAAGGAAGAGGAGAAAAATTGAAAATACTAACACTAATTCTTTTTGGGGCACTCGTTACATATAATTGAATAATTTTGAGAATGTTCGTTGCTCCTAGATCGAAATGAATGGTTTTTCAAACAAATCACATTACTTAAATTTTGAAGTGTTATAGACTACTAAATTAACTCATTAAACAAGCTCATGTCGAACAAATCCCTGTCCTCAACCCATAACCACGAAATACTTTTGTCAGTTTTTCTTGAGATTCCCTTCTGGCTACAACGTATAGAGTATTAACAATATCTATTTTTTAGACTATTGCAAAGATTTCGGACAATCATCATTGTTGTTTGCCTATCGTGGTTTTTGTTATTCTGTAACATCTGAACTTGTGCCATGGACACAAGCTGTCAATTATTGTCAGCAACATTTTCATAATGTATCACATCAGCAAGCATCTCTATTAATATTTGATGAAGAAAATAGTAACGATGAATTTCAATATATAAAACAAATATTTATGTCATATAATCAATCAGCAACAAAATTGAGTGCCTCCATCGGATTTAGTTATCAAAATAGTACGTTAAAATGTTATACTATTATTTTCTTAACTTAAAAAATATTTTATTTTATCTTTAGATACATGGATATGGTTAGATGGTCGAAAAGTTGATTTTAGAGAAACACCACCATCTATTTATGCGACAAAAAATTCAATATTTCCCTATGAACAATTGATGTGTGGAATTATTGAATTACGTCGTTTACCAAATGAAACAAAATTTGGTTTAATGCAACAAGAATGTTTAACACCTGAAAGAGTTTTTTGTAAATTAGGTAAGAAATTTGAGAATACTGATTAATAACATCATTATTTTGTATATTTATCTATAAAATTAATATGGTTTTTAGAAGTTGATTATTGTTTCGAAAATGATAAATGTGGTCTCAATGGTGTTTGTAGTAATGAAGATGGAGAATTTCGTTGTGAATGTGCATTTTTGTACGATGGAGTATATTGCGATGAATGTAAGTTTTGTAGAAAACAAAAAAAAAAAAGAAGAAAAATAACCTATGCATAGATCACACTTTGAGTTAGGAAATAGACGTATGTATTTAATTATTTTAGATAGTTCCGAAGCGATCCAGGTAATCATCGCAAGTCTATTTGTGGGTTTAGCATGTATAGTTATAGCTGTATGCAAGAAAGCCCAACAAATACAAAACAAAACTTTCATAATGAAACATTATGAACAAAAGTAAATACATGTGCTTTATTTTTTTAAGATTTTTAATATATTATATTCGTTGATTTCTTTCTTTTATATAGTGATGTTGCTGCTCGTGATCATCTTTTAAATTTGAATGATAATAAATCATTAAATAAATTTAAACAAATTGGTTCAATTTGTTTTCAAAAATTTCCAAAATGGATTCATCATTCCTCATTATCAACATCATCATTGCAAGATAGTTGTTCTAAACCATCGCTACCACCGTCTATTCCACATCTCAATCATTTAAAACAGTCATGTCATCGTTCGAATCGTCATCGAACAAAAACAAAAACATCAAATGGTCTATTAACATTTGTTCAATCATTTTTAACTGTTGCCGTTGCTGGTGTTGCCATTGTTTATATTTGTGTTCGACGTACAAGTTCAATTTATGATTATGATCAACAATATTCAAAACAGCAACATAATCATTCATTATTAAAATTAAAAGATTCTATTGGCTTGAAATCGAGTAATGATGAAAATCGTACGGTTATAACACCTATTATCATGAAAAAATCTTATATCTGCCGATTAATTGGATCAAATTATGTAAATCAAAATGTATTTATGTTGCCATTTTCAGCATTATTAACATTTATTTTATTTTTACTCTATCAAACAATTCAACAAGCATCATCTGTATCCATTCATCATCATCATCATCAATATCGTTGGTTTTTTCAACGTTTAAAATTTCCTATTATTTTAAATCCATTTCAAAAAACTGATCGATTTCATACTGTCATCTTATTTGGTGTTATATCAAATCAAATTATTAATCTATTAATTGAAGTACTACTAAAACCACAGACAGACATACGATTAGGTAAGAAGACAATATTAAAAATATCATAATAAAATATATTAGAATAAATTGTTTATTTAAGGTATTCTATTTGATTTAATTCGTCGTCTTGGTCTCGTGATACTTTGTGGTGCTCGATATTTTCCAATATTAATTAGTTTAAATGTTCATTGTTTAACATCAACATTTTTAACATCTCTCTTTATTACATTTGATTTAGGATTGTCTGTTTATTGTGAAGCACATTGTATTCAATCTTTAAATGATCATTTATCATCAACTATATCCATGATCCATTCATCATCTCGTGTTCAATTAGACATTGCACGTATTCATTATGTATTAGCCAAATGTCTTCCACATTATGTTGCATTAGCTCACATTATGGCACGATTTTATACATTAACACTTAAACATTTTCTCTATTTATGTAAAGGTAATGAACGATGGTCTCATAATTATAAAAAATCAACAATAAATACAAACACAATGTATAATACTATTTCAAAAGAATTTGATAATGATTGGTATTATACAAAATCATTGATGAAACATGGTTCAATGCCAAATTATTATTTGTATACATCTCAATTACAAACACAATCAAAAACATTTAAAGAAATTCTTCATAAATTTTATAAACCACGACCTTATTTTCGTTACTCATTACTTGTTTTATTTACCTATACTGTATCATTTTTAGTATTATATTATTTAACATGTTTACTAATATTTTCAAGTACATTTACACTACGTCTTTTGATGACTGTAACTGGAAATATTTTAATGAAATTAATTCAGTTATCACCAATTACAATTAATATTCAAACAGCTAATTTTGAAAAATTAACATTTACAAATGAAATATTTATATCGGCATTTATATCAGCATTTATCTACATTATTCAATTATTATTAGGTATATAAATGTTGATTATTTAATACTTGATTAATTCTAAAATTATTTAATTTTTTTCTTTACAAAGATAAATAGTATAAGTCATTCTTTAGAAAGAATGAAAATTAAAGTAATAATATTAATAGTTATCAAGTTCGTCTTATATATATATATATGTTTGTCTCCCTAATGTACAACGTGAGAATAATTATCTTATTTTTTTTGATTATTGTAGGTTTGAAACAGTATCAATTACACATGTTAAAATATTATCGTGGTGCCTATGATAAACAGTATCATTTAGACAATTCTTCATCTGTATTAGCTAAGAGTTTTCATTATAGTGGTTATCAAGTGGGCTATTTGGCTTATGGTTTTGTGATAATAAATTATATTGTATTTATTATTTGTCTATTTCTTCGTTTATTATTTATTCATCCATTATTAATTAAATTTGTTGTTAAATTTATTGCACCATTATTTATTCTCTATGCTCTAAAACATGTTATTATTTATTGTTTAACACGTTATTTCTTTTCTCATTTATTAAAATCAACAGCAACAACAACAACAACAGTTGAAGATAATACACAACAATCGTCTATTTATTGTACACCGGATTTAGTTACACATCAAGAACATCAACAATATTTATTTTCTTTAGAAAATCGTCATGCCTATTTTCTATTTGTTTATTTTAATTTTTTCTTTGACTGTTTTTTGGGTATAATTAGTTGTATTATTCGATTATTTAAATCAACAATAGCTGTTATACTCTATATGCCAAGACTTGATTATTCAATATTTGGTAGAACATTAGAACAATATGATGTGGGTTATACATCTTATATATCTTATATTTATGTAGAATCTATTCATACTCATCCAATATTAATCTCATTTACACAAATTGTTTATATGAATATTCTCAAACAAAGATTAGAAAAAATAACTGAATATGATAGAAAAAAACAGCGTATCAAATTCAAATGGTTAATTGCTTATACATTATTGAAAAATTTATCATTGATAACAACAAGAAAACAATCGAGAAAACAACGTCAATTATTAATATCATCATCCTTGAATAGGACAATAATAGATTCTACCACTAATAGTGGCGAAAAACAACATATTATTATGGAACCATTTAATTCGAGGACCGGTGATGTTTAATCGCATCTATTTTAGTTTGTATTTTTACTTTATTGTTATTGCTGCACAGATAGTTTGTTTGTTTTTGATTTTTTATATAATTTCATCTGTTATGTATGTATCAATAAACGAATGAAGTTTTACGAAAAATACAAATTGAATGAAATATCGTAACTAAACTAACGAGGGAAGGTCCCCAGGTGTTTCCCTGGGATTTCAAAGCAATGTACCTCACTTTGCTAATTTAAGGATGCTGTTCAATCCTTCAAGAGTTATAAGCATTTTATTTTAATAGTAACGAAAAGTACCATATTTTGAAGAAATCACAGCTTTTCATAGAAAGATGGAGCTGAGAGATATGCCATTCTACAGATAAACACCTTAGCTATAAAATGAAATCTATTTTAGCTTCAGAGAACGTTTGATTGTTAAGTAAAAACAATTTTAAAATGTTCCACATTTTCCACTTGTTTTATGTTGCGTTTTGAAAATGTTTAGAAAAATTTGCCATATATTACCACAAGATTTCATTCTGTTGCATCATGGCAGTCGTGGTGACAACCAACCTAAAACACATATCATTTTATAGCTAAGGTGTTCATTTGTAGAATGGCATATCTCTTAGCTCTATTGAACATTTCTATGAAAAGCTGTGATTTCTTCAAAATATGGTACTTTTCGCTACTATTAAAATAAAATGCTTATAACTCTTGAAGGATTGCACGAGAGCACGAATGGTTTTCAGATTCGTAATC